TCTGCCGAACGCTTGCCACTCAGTACCATAAGCTACATACCCAATAAAGTTTACTTTTGGCTAATAGCTAGAACTATTATATATATTTTTAACGTGGTCGAGCTATATTATGGTTGCAGCGCGAATGGGACGGTTCAATCAGGAAAGGACTATACTTACTCAGAATACCAGCGTAAAGTAGGAGCTTGATGTTGCTGTGCTTCGTATGGTACAAGTAATCTATCTTATTTCTAAGGGGTGAAAACGCATCTACATTTTGATTCTTATACGAGAATAGACGTGTCGCATTAAACTATACAATACAATGATGTGTCTTGTCGTAATACATCTGTGTGAAGGCCACAGTATCCACTTACCATTGACTGTGCTGTCACCCCTATTCTTAAAAAAAACCATTTATGAATAATTTTTCATACATGCGACATTATGACTTTTCATATGCATGGCGCAAATATCATCACTTTATTCTGTGGAGACGAGTATCTCGAAACCAGCAAAAGCCGATTCTAACACAGAAAAAATAAAGAACAGTATAGCTTACACGCAGAATTCAGATGTGTATATCCATTAGTTACTCAACAATGGCGGTTCAGATGCTCATTTGAGTTTCGACAATCCGCGACCGGTTTTCGAAAGCGGACGTTCGTGTTGAGTGCAAATACGAAACTCGCAAATAGTCTTCTTAGAACCGTTAAGCGGCTGGGCTCTCATCTTAAATTTCATTATAAACGATTCACTTTTTACGTGGTAGAGTCATGTATACGTGCCAATATAGCTGTAGATACATGTTGTACAGCTATATTATGGGGCTGTTCATGTTGTACAGCTATATTATGGTTGTATTATGATTTATGAATGAATCGACTCGACCGAGGTAGGACCACGCTCTCACAGAATAGCAGTATAAAATACCAACATAATCCTGCTGTGTATCGTATCACCATCATCATCATTACAGCCTTTCATAAGTCCACTGCTGAACATAAGCCTCCCCCAAGAAATGCCACAAAGCACAGTCCTGAGCCACCTGCATCCATCGACTTCCTGCATGTCTTACCAGGTCGTCACTCCATCTCGTGGGGGGTCGCCCTACACTTCGCCTACCGGTACGAGGCTGCCACTCGAGAACCTTTCTTCCCCATCGGTTGTCGGTTCTTCGAACTATATGGCCGGCCCATTGCCACTTCAGCTTACTAATCCGTTGTGCTATGTCGGTTACTCTGGTTCTACTGCGGATATCCTCATTTCTAAGTTTATCACGCAGAGAAACCCCGAGCATAGCCCTCTCCATAGCTCGCTGAGCGACCTTGAGCTTCCTCATACGGCCAGCAGTGAAGGACCACGTCTCAGATCCGTAAGTCATCACTGGCAACACGCACTGGTTGTACAATTTCGTTTTCAGGTTTTGAGGTGTGTCTAACGAGAAGATGTGTCGAAGACCTCTCGGTCGAAGTTGGACTTACCTAGTCGAACTATTTGTCCCAGGTAAACATACTCGTCAACAACCTTGAGCTTAGTGCTCCCAACAACTACCGGCATAGGTGTGACATGGACATTAAACATGATCTTTGTTTTGTCCATGTTCATCCTAAGACCTATTCGTTGGGAGACACTATTGAGGTCATTGAGCATGGTGCTTAAGTCCTCCAGCGATTCTGCCATAAGGACTATATCGTCGACAAATCGAAGGTGAGTGATGTACTCGCCATTGATGTTAATACCGTATCCTTTCCAGTCCAGAAGCTTGAAAACGTCTTCCAATGCAGCGGTGAAGAGTTTCGGGGATATAACATCACTCTGTCTTACACCTCTCTGCAATTGGATAGGTTTCGTACTATGATTCCGTACTCGGATAGCCATCGTAGCTCTACTGTACAATCACTTCAGCACTTCGATATACCAACAGTCAACTTGGCACCGCTGAAGGGACTGCAGCACCGCCCAAATTTCGATGGAATCAAAGGCTTTCTCATAGTCCACATACGCAAGGCAAAGTGGCAGATTATACTCCTCTGTCTTCTGTACAATCTGCCGCAGGGTATGTATGTGGTCTATGGTACTAAAGCCTTTTCGGAAACCGACTTGTTCGGGAGGCTGGAAGTCGTCAAGTCTGCGTGCGAGACGATTCGTAATGACTCTCGAAAACAGCACGTAGACGCGGCTCAGAAGGGAAATCGGTCTGTAGTTCTTCAAGAAAGCGTTGTCCCCTTTCGTGAAGAACAAGACCACTACACTTCTGTTCCACGCCTCCGGAGTAGTGCCACTATGGAGGACGGAATTAAAGAGCTTCTGAAGGACTTCAAGTACCGGTTTTCCACCCGCTGTCAGAAGCTCCGCTGTAATTCCATCCTCGCCCGGGAACTTGCCGTTTTTAAGGTGCTGGAAAGCCATTCTAATCTCGCTCAGACTGACGTCCGAGATATCTTCGGAATAGTGACGGATAAGACTCGCTCTTGGATCGTTACTCACACTTGCGTGTTGCTCCAACGATGACGTGTACAGCTGCCCATAGAACCTCTCAATCTCACTCAAAATCTTAGGTGCCCCGGAAACGATGCTGCCACACTCGGTCTTCAGCTTTGACAGTTGGCTCTTTCTGGCAGACAGATCTCTGGCAAAGACTTTGAAGCCTTGGTTCCGCTCGATCGCTTCTTCAATACAAGCTGTATTGAAGTTGCGTAAGTCCCGCCGCATGCATTTGGAGATCTGTCTGTATTCTGTCAAATCTTTTGAAGAATGTAGCTTCATCTCCCATCTAACAGCCATAAGATTAAGAGTGTGATCGGAGCACTTTTGTGTTCTTCTGCGGCGGGTCTTGCAGAACCGACCACATGGACACTTCATTGCAGTCTTCTAGGCACTTAAAACGGTTTTGTAACTCGAGCTGAAAGGTTTCGGGACTTTGGAACAGAGCACGAGGGGGACGGAGCGTTGACTTCATTAGACGAGACCTCTCCAACTTAACGTTTAGGCTCAGTGTGCCTATAACCATTCGGTGATCGCTACCAGTTTTCACCCTCGCGATCACGGAGACATCACTGAACAGTTGTCGTCTGATCATCATAATGAAGTCAATTTCATTTTTTGTCGAACCGTCGGGGCTCGACCAGGTCCACTCCCTGTGGGGCCGCTTCTGGAAGAAAGAGTTCATCATAAAGAGTTCCTCTTTCTCCATGAAGTCGGCCAGCTGCTGGCCCCTTGGGTTCCGTTGCCCTATTCCAAATTTCCCTACTTTCAGCTCACCGTTCTCTCTTTTGCCTAGTTTTGCATCGAAGTCTCCCATTAACACCGTATAGTGGGTTTTGGAGGAATGCATGACTCTAGAGATATCCTCATACATTTCCTCTACCTCCTCATCGGGATGTACCGAGGTTGGTGCGTAAACCTGTATGACCTTCAGCGAATACCCGTTTGGTGATTCTGAGTATAAGGTACGCAACCCTCGTCAACACACTTGTCAATCTTTACAACGTTGTTAACGAGAGACTTGTGGACGATAAATCCGACACCTCCTTGGGACAGATGGTCGCCCTCCCGGTGATAGAGCAAGTTGCCGGATTCGAGGATGACCGTGTCCTCCCCTCTCTACGGACCTCGGATAATCCTATAATATACCAGCATAACTTGTCTATCTCTTCTTCCAGCTCCACAATCTTCTCGTCAGTCCTCAGGGTGCGTGCGTTGTATGTTGCCAGGTCGAGTAGTCTTAGGTGGCAACCGAACCTCCACCGGAGATTCTTAGCACCCCCTGCCCCGCCGTTACCATGGTCGCCACCGTAGCCAGGAATAGCGGGGCCGCCGGGGACTGGGGGCCGTCTCTTTGTTGCTCTGATCATTGGGGGGTATTTGCCATAGTTGCCACGCTTGGCGAGCGGGTTGGCAACCGCAGTTTTTTTATTGTATTTTTGCTGTTATCAGGAAGATGCTGCTGCCCATCTCCTGCCTGTTTCCCTTTGTAGCCTTTTACGACACCCACAGGAAGATATGGGGTAGTGGATATTCTTAACCGCCACTACACGGCAAGTCATTTGCATTTAGTAAAAAGCTGTAATTTTGACATTACAAACAGACACTTCAATTTTATTTATTTGTATAGATAAGTACCATATATACTTTCATATGCATTTAGTAAAAAATTGTTATTTTGACATTACAAACAGACACTTCAATTTTATTTATTTGTGTATAGGTGTATAGACTCTTATTAGTAAGACGCTGCTGCCCATCTCCTGGTTTGTTCCCCTCTGTCGCCTCATACGCCACAACACGGTAACATCGTTTCATGTACAAGTACAAATATTTTTCCACTCACAATTATTGTTGACACTATAACAAGACTATGTTGTTGCTTATCATGTTTAATCAGAAGTTTATTGTAAATATAAAAGTTTGCGAACAGGTCGACAGTGAAACTTATCATTGTTATTGTTATAAATAACCGGTTTCCTTATTTCCTATATAATAAATGTCTGAGAATTATAGACAACAACTCAACGTAGCGATTATGGCGAGTTCTCCTAAAATGGGAAACGCCTAAATCCGGCAGTGGGTTATACGACTACGTATTAACAAGGTAACGAACATAATGTGGGGAAGCCATGTTGATTGTTGACTTACATTAGCAAAAACATTTTTATAGTTTTATTAATAATAAAGGCATAAATAAATTAATGTTGCTATCTTATAAATTTAATCATATGTAACTGAAACTTATAACAGTTTAAGAGTTTGGCCGTTTTGAGACACACAAAAGTAACCTTTAATTATAAGTGATAGGCAATTAAGGTTAGATAAATTAATTCAAAGAAAGTGCTTCAGCATTTATATATACTTCGGTGTAAGGATGACAAACAAGCACTCAGTTCACTTGATAGTAAGTGAATGCTGTGGCCTATATACAACTACATCTTATCCTCGATTAAGTTTTGCCACCTACGAATACGAGTTGCCACCCCTGACCCCTGAGATTCGATACGTTCGAGATTATAGCTACAACATACCTAAGATTGGCGAGTTCAGAACAGGAGTTTGCGAGGAGATAGTCGCCGCCGAGGAGGGCGATCTTGTTGCCAAACATCATATCGTCGGGGTCGCCGGGACCTATCTTCGGCGCGTTCATGTTCACGAGCCCCTTGTGCACCAGGTGCGACGTGCGGATCATCTCCGTCACCTCTGCCAGCGCGCGTTGGCTATACAAAGATATAAAAGTAATTTAGCGTTAGCACTATTTGATATTCAACACTCAGTATGTCCAGTATGGATTTCAATGCCCTTTTTGTCATAAACATTCGTAAGGCGAGTACAACATCTGACCAAAAATTCTTCGTAATTTGTTGAATGGTGTAGAACGCGCACGGTACAAACAAAGAGATATTCATTTTTATATTTGTATATAGATATAAAATAAAAATTTGGTGATCGATGATTTTTATTACTATTGTAAGCCAGTGATTGACTACTACCCCACCTAGTGGTAAGTGGTGATGCAGCTGAAGATGGTAAAACGCACTGACCTAGCTGCTAAGCTTAGCTTAGCTATAATATACATTAAGTTATTCCAGTAAGATACGAATACCACTTTGAAATAAATATTTTACCTATGCAAAACACCAGCAGCTTTATCCTGCTCCATGTCGGGTATTTCAGGACTATGGCCAGCTGCTTTTGATACCAGCAGGACAATGAGACCCCACGCCTGCATGTTGTTCTTCCCATTGTAGATCAAGTTCCTGGGAACAATATCATTAGGTCAATATTTTTAGGTAACTTTAAAAAAAAGGATGAGTTTAATAATTCGACTATATGTTTGTTTCTTTTTTGTATGTATGCTACGTGATGTCTTTGTCAATTGTGAACCGATTTTGAGGCCTGTTTTTTTTTATATTTCAGGGGTGATCTCATATAAATTTGGAGAAAAATTTTTACAAGGATGAAGAATTTGATGGAATTATTTAGACGACCACGGCTTTATTCCTTAGTCCTCCTTCAAAATGGTGAAAAAATTACCTTCTAATAAAAAGTTAAGCCGACTTCAAAGAACTAAACAGCAGACTTCAAACAAATAAAATAATTTCACGCAACACATTACACGCACATACACTACACACATATTACACACTCACTACACATTTACTACATACACACACTATATATACCTTTTACTTTCTAATTTATTACAAGCGGTTCTTGCTTTATTAAATTTTATAATATGGAAGAGGGGCTTACTTCTGCAGGGCTAGCATGGGCAGGAGACAATTTTATCCCCGGGGAAAGGAGAAAATGTTTATGCCCTCGCTTAGTTTTATCCACCCTTCGAGCCTTGGGCACACCGTGGATATCCATAGTAGATAAAATGAGAGATAGACTTAGATAGATTTTTTGTATGGATATAAACTTAAACCCACGTCCAATGAACTAGGATAAAATTGTCACTTTCAAATGTCAAAAAAGCATAATCTTTTATATTTCATTTGGCTCCATGCTACGGACGGGGGATATATGTTTACTCGTTATGTCAAACGGGAATATACTTCTCCCCGTTGCCGGGCTTCGGCATAAGGACAAGATAATTTTATCTCTTGTCAGTGGATATAATCGGGTGATAAATTTTTTGTCCAGCCGAAGCAAGCCGTGCTGATACGGGCGCAGTATGCGTTCAATAGAAGAAGTCTACCATGGCACATGTAATTTGTAAGACCGTGTTTATAAATAAAACGTTTTTATTTTTTATTTCACATTCTGAAGTCGGCACTTTAATAATTCTTCTATACGTAATGTTTTCTTATATTTACGCGAACACTACTTCTATACATTGAATAAAATTATTTTCTGCCGACTTCCAAAAAGAAGACGGTACTCAATTCGACTGTATGTTTTTTTTGTTTTTTTTTATGTGTGTTACCTCATAACTTTTTACTGGGTGAAACGATTTCGATGATTTTTTTTAATATGAAAGCAGGTACTTCTCGTGTGGTGGAATTTGATCAATTTGAGACCAATAGTCTTTGAGTTATTCTTAATAACTTATATTGAAGTCGGCTGTACAACATTTTTAATTTTAAATTATTTACGGATTTTATCGCGTTAAATTTATATTTTCTATACGTTCTTCTATACACAGTCATAGCAGCAATTTCAGAATGTGTTCTTTTTATTCGTTTTAGTTATTTAAAATCAGCTTTTACTTTGAATTGAAAGTTACCATAAAAAATATCGTTCATTCGTTATTATTTAACGTATTCTTTCATGTGCAACCTAGCGCAAGCACTAATGGATTCTTGGTTTGACTCCTAGTCGAAACAAATTTTATGCAATTTTTTGCAGTTTATTTTTCTCTCTTCTAGTTTATTTTAGTGTTGGATTAGTTAATATAGGAACATTAGGTTCGGCACGTGCTGTATTCTAGTTCGGGCCATTACCTATGTGCAACTTTTGAGACGAACAAAAATACTTCATATCTATTGAGTGATAATATCCATGGTCGCTCAGGAGATGAGCGCTCGTCTTATAATTTTGTAGCATACGGGCAAAACACAGTTTTATTTCCGTCAGCACCAATGGAATTATTCATTCAAAAAAGTTTTAAGTTTTGCCTTACCACGTGCTCGGCGGTGAAAGAAAACAATTTAATGACCTAACGAACCCGCATGTCTAAGGAATAAAATATTTTGAAGACATTTAGATTCTAGAGCAGACTAATTCTTCCATAGCTCTCAGAAATGAAAAGAGGCCTGTGCCCAGCAATAGTAATTGTAATTTTACATTTTTACTCTTGATTATGCAATTTATGCGGCGACATGTTTATGCGACAAGTAATTTGGTTTATCATAACGCCAACATCAACTTTAATTGGAAAAACTCAACTGATGGACATGATTCATCCTGTTGTAAAGAGCTTTTTCCCCAAATTGTCACTATGAGGGCTAATAATTTTCTGCTTACCAAATGTCGCTAGTTGACACTGAGGTAAAGTTTTTTGTTACACAATGTAATTTAATTGAGAAGTTGGTTTTCAATAAAAGTTTATCAGTTTCTAGAGTATTATATTAATACACAAAACAATGCGTCAGTGGTTTGCTCTTTAATTTTTTGCACATTTTAACATTTTTTTTAATGTTTCTACTTTTATGAATATCTCCGGTTTGGTTTATTTATTTTTAATCTTTTTTTAATCTTATTAATATAATATATAGCCAATAGTACAGAAAGAAACAATAACCTTTACATTTAAATCTACTATGAAATCTGTCAAATATTATACCTCACTTTCTAGCGACGCCGCCCTGGTGACAGAAAAAGTCGTGGATACCCTCATTAGCGGGCGGATTGATCGCAGTGGGTACCTACCTGACGTCTCGCAATTTTGACGCTGCTGCCTATCACCGGTATGGGTACGCCATTTTTGGAAGCCAAAATATCTATTTGATTGTTCCATAGTCGCTTCTTACGACACCCACGGGACGAAATGAAGTGATGGATCCATTACACGGCAATTTGGGTCACGTCGTTTATTTTCTACTTAATACTCTCTCTCTCTGTCATCAAGTTTAAACAAATCATATGCGTATCGACGTGCTTACAAACTAGTTTAACAACTGGTGTTTCAACTAGTTGCGAATCTGTGTCATGTCGATGGCGTTATCGTTTAACAACGTACTAATGAATTCAGCAAGGCAACAGGTCAAATTATGATATCGACAAACTACGTAAACAAAGTTCGCTGGTACTCTAGAACCATTTCAGTTATATTAATGGTTTCATGCAAAGAATAGAATAAAATAGAATAGAATAATTTTTATTAATACTTATTGAAAGTAATTTTTATTTATTACTGGTTCGGAAAATACCTCTGTTCTGGGAAGAACTAGCAAGAAACCCAGCGGGACATTTTTTTAAACATATTTCACTTTACAATAATTTTTCATTTTTGTTTGTACAAATTCTAAATGAGTTTTATTAAAAACCAGCATGGTGGCGATCACCTCATTCCCAGGGGTTTTATCACTTATGTCCTAATAGGTGATAGGACTCTTTCTCTGTCTAGGAATCCCTCTAACCTATTCCTGCCGACAAATAGCAGTGTCTGCACCCTTCTATTCCAATCTAAAGGGTATGGAGATCCATTATAATTACAGGTTGTAGACAGTCCATTTGAGTCCTTTTGTTTAAAGTTAGTCGCAGGTGTCCATGGACTGCAGTAGCCACTAATCATCAAGTGAGTTGTAAGTTCGTTTGTCACTTCAGATAAAAAGGGACAAAGATTAAACAGATCTTGATTTTTGGTTTGCAGTGTGGTACCTGCTTAAGGGAATTGATCACCCCATTAGTCCCGTGGCAACACCCGAGGCGAGTTTTCGAAACCCCAGAAAGATCTCATAGCTTCCGATAGATGACGGTAATACCATTTCGTTATGTCAGACGTAAGTTATCTATACCACGAACGGGTAGCAAGTAGCAACGATGTCAAAGATTGCCAAGCGTAGCGATTCAGGCAAATCCTGCCAACGGGAATGGTCTATGACCAGCTGTGGAATTTCGCGGACTGATGAGGAAGAAGAAGCAATTGTTATAATCTGCTAAGACATTTTTACGTGGTAGAGCCATGCTGCAGCCACGGCTGACAACGCATCTGCATTTTGATTCGTAGTTGAGGATAGATGTAGATGTCTATGGGCCACAGCATCCACTTACCATCAGGTGGACTGTGTGCTCGCTTGTAACCCTTATCCTATATAAAAAAAAGTGTAATTTGTTAAATATTTCTGCGTTTATCAAGAACTTAAAACAAATTCTTTATTCTGCTTTGTAACTGGAGTAATTTCCCTTATGCAAAATGATCGATGACCTTTAATTTCCGTGAAAAAGTGAAAGCTTCCTTGTATAGTGTTGAGGGCCGAACCTGATACAGTACGCGGAATGAACCTTTATATTTTTTTTTGTTAAATTCAAAGAAGGAAGAACACCTTTTACCACGTGGTTGTAGGATGAAAATGACTAGAACACCGTTGAAAAAAATACATTTAATTGTTATTCTGTTTTGGAATACATTAAATACATGGGTATGTTATTGTGTGGTTTATATTTTTGTATAATGGATGTATGGAATTATACTATCTAAGGTATGCACAATAACTTTGCAGCTGTAATGTCAACATAAGTTTTGAGCTTTTAGAGTAGATATTTGTAGAAGATACAACAAATACTTGTTCCGCGTGGAATTCAAATCCGCCGCCCTCAGCCTCACTGTAAACCATAATATAAAACTTGCGAAGGAAAAGAAACTTCGTATGTTAACCTAATGTAAAAAATGCAGCTGACAACTATACATATCGACGCGTAATGTCATTCTGCCAATGAAGGAAAAGCGGAATTCTCCCGCCGGGCATGATGTTCTACCGGGGGAGCGGCCAACGCTCCAAGTGGTAGTTCGGAGCTATTCTATATATACTGCTTTAACTTCGGAACTTTGTTAGCGCGATTTAGGCTTCGATGTGTTTCGCTTGTGGCGCGACGACAGCGCCGCCACATCACTTTTGGTTTCTCTTATAAATTTTCACAGTCGTACCTAACTTGAACAGCACTCTTGGGTAATTTAACTTTTAGCGACACTGCGACGTCTGCTCATCACAGAAAAAAATATTAAGAGGATTTACAATAGAAAATAAAACATTACAACATTAATTATCTCTGCCTCGTATATGAACAGGGACTGGGTACTTTTATTTGTAGC